ACCCTGTGGGGCAGTTCCACTCTGTCCTCTAGGGGCGCTGTGGGTCAGAATGGACTCTACTGCAGTGGGTGTGGTTTGGGCTTTGCTTCTGTGAGGGTAGGAGCTCTGGTGGCACAGTGCCTAAGGCCCTTGACTGCTAACCAGAAGGCTGGAGGTTCAAACCCACCAGCCACTCCCCGGAAGGAAGCTTGGGCAATCTACTTCCGTAGTAATACTGCCTCGGAAACCCAAGGAGGGGTCGCTATGAGTCAGACTCATCTCGACAGCAGTGTGTCTCCTGTTCGACATCTCCTTGCGATGGAGCCGTGAGTTTTAAAGTCCACTTAAGCAGGGGAGCCACTCCGCGCCCAGCACAAGGGGCCTGTGCCCCACACCTGCTCATCACCGTCCCTGTTACCTGGCTCAGATAACGTGAGGGCTGCTCTGGCGTCCACCTGCTGAAATGATACCTAGAGTCTTCCCGTTTTCATAGCCTGGTGGTTAGGTGGAGGACAGAGGAAAGGGGGTAACACGGACTCAAGAGGCACTCATCACCCATCCTTTGATCTTTAAAAAGAGCGAGAACTGTGCCCCAGAGTTCCCTGCAGCACCATTCACAATAGCTACCAAGTACCAGGTGTCCCCAAACTGAAGAACAAGTAAACAACGTGGGGTCTGGCCATAGAATGATGCCTCATTCAGCCACACAGAGAAATGAAGTCCTGCAGGATGGACTGATGCCACCATCCACTCCAGTTACCAGCTAGACCACCCGGAGGAGAGGGGGATTCCGCCCACCTCTGGAGGGAAGTGGGGGGATATCAAAGAATTCCCAGACATGTTTGGAAACCACTGCAAACACAGAACCACCACGAAAACACCGAATCCCACTGCATCAAGTCAATTCTGACTCATAGCGACCCCTCCTTGGGTTTCAGAGGTGGTAACTCTTTACGGAAGTAGATTGCCCAACCTTCCTTCCGAAGAGTGGCTGGTGGGTTTGAACCGCCAGCCTTCTGGTTAGCAGTCAAGTGCCTTAAGCACTGCCCCACAGAGCTCTCTGTAGGACCCAGCAATTCCACTCCTAGGAGCTCCTGCAGAGAAACACTTGGCGAACTGCTCCTGTAAAGACGACAGCCTAGGAAATCCTACTGGCCGCTGCGCTCTGTCACATGGGTGGCTGAGAGCTGAACATCAACTCAGTAACACCCCACAACAACAACCGTGCAAGGTGTAACAGGGGCTCCTTTGCGCATAAATCACGAAGAATGTCAGGGTGAGGACAGAGCCTACAACCGAGCCCCCACGCCGGCCGCCCACCCACGGGTGAGAGACGCGAAGACGGGGGAAGACCCCGCCGGTCCTGGCCGTGTCCTGCTGACGAAACCCAGAGATCGGGCTCCACCACCTCCGCCTGCTGTCGAGAGGACGAGGCCCTGAGAGCAGCAGGAGTTTGAAACTGTTTCTCCCATTCTTTGTTTTTTCACCTGGGGAAAGGAAAAAAAAAACAAAAAGCTATGCCCAGTCCAAAATGCAAACTTTTATGTCTCTCTTCAAAGCGTTTTGTGGAAATAGCAACTGATGACCGCACATGACACCAACTAGTGGGGTTCTTGTAAGCTTCCCTGCGCACCGCGGGATCAGACCCGTGCGATCACTGGCTGACTTTTGGAAGCAGGTTACCAGGCCTTGTCTCCTAGTCTGTCTTAGTCTGGAAGCTCCGCTAAACGCTGTTCCGCATAGAAGCTTTATTTCTGGTCTCGGGACCTTATCTCCAGAGCTCTCCTTAAGAAGATCCCATACTGCCTGTATCCCGCATGCTTCAGGAAACAGAAGTCTCACCCCAAAAGAATAAACAAACCCAACCCGTCGCCATCCAGTCTGTTTCAACTCATGGTGACCCCGTGTCCTATCGTTCAAGCGCAGGCAGCAGTCAAGAAATCAGACAACGTCCTGCGTTGGGCAAAGGTCTCTTTAACAAGTTCAGAAGCCAAGATCTCCCATTGAGGACGAAGGCGCGCCTCATGGAGGCTGTGGTATCTGCCTCATGTGCGTGTGAAAGCTGGACAGTGAATAAGGAAGACTGGAGAAGAATTGCTGCCTTTGAATTGTGCTGTTGGTGCGGAATATCGCTATGCTGTGGACGGCCAGGAAAACGAACAAGTCTGTCTTGGAAGAGGTACAGCCAGAATGCTCTTAGAAGGGAGGACAGTCACGGTTGGTCTCACGTCCTGTGGTCCTGTTATCAGGAGGGTCCAATCCCTGGAAAAGGACATCACGCTTGGTCAATTAGAGGGTCAGAGAAAAAGAGGAAGGCCCCCAATGAGGTGGACGACACATTGGCTCCCACAGTGGGTTCGAGCCCCACAGTGGTCGTGAGGCTGGGCAGGACCGGCACGGTTTCCTTCTGTGGCGTGTGGGGTCGCTGTGAGTCGGAGGCGACTCGACGGCACCTGGGAACAACAGCAGCCTTGTGGCGTTTGGGGTCGCCATGAGCGTAAGCAGTAGGAGACACGTTATCTCCACAGCAAGAAGGCAGGAAGTAGGTGGTTCCGGGTTCTGTTGCTTCATCTGCACACATCTTCCAAGACGTGGGTTCCTTCCATCCTTCCACCCAGCCATCCTTAACTATTCGTCGTTGGTCCACTCTGATTTCAGACCACCTTTTCTTTGTTAGGGAGCTCTGAGGCGTAGTGCCTAACACATGTGACTGCTAACCAGAAGTCTGGCGGTTCAAACCCACCAGCCCCTCCTCAGAAGGAAGGTTGGGCAATCTACTTCCCTAGTGATACTGCCTCGGAAACCCAAGGAGGGGTTGCTGTGAGTCAGGTCCGACTCGATGGCAGTGAGTTTGGTTTTCTATTTTTTTTTTTCTTTATTAGAGTAAGCTCTGGTGGCGCAGTGGGGAAGACATTTGCCTGCTAACCACAAGGTCAGTGGTTCAAACCCACCAGCTGCTCCGTGGGAGGAAGATGAGGCAATCAACGTCGATAAAGATAAACAGCCCTGGAAACCCAAAGGGGATTGCTGAGAGTTGGAATCAACTCAAAGGCAGTGCGTTCGGGTGTTTGTTTGTTTGTTTTAATTTCTTTATTGGAAGTCCCTGGTTGATGCCAATGGTTAACATGCTTAGCTGCTGTGGTGGTTAAGTTTGTGTGTCAACTTGGCTGGGCCTGGTTGAGTGGCTGGGCAGCTGGGTGTAGTTACTCCCCGTGGGGAGACTGGCAATCAACTCCATGTTGGAATCTACTGGAGCAGCTGAGTAGCTGGGATGTGGCCTGCTTCCAATGTATAAAGAAGACCCTTGAGGAAGGTCCCCAGTATCTGGCACGCTTGACCCCTGCTTGTGGGCAACTCCTTGTTCAGCACCCTGCCATGCCCTGCCGATCTTGGGGCTTTTTCTGGACTTGAGTGAATGGCTTGCTGTGTGGTTTGGTAACATCGGGACTGTGCCTTTTCACTTGTCAACCTCGGGCTTGGCAGCCTCAGCAGCCAGTAGCTGTCTGAGTGAAGAAACGCCTCTAGCTCCAGTGGGCCGGGGGCAGGAGGCAGAGCTGGACCCCAAGACTGAGGGGCTTTCACCCAGCCCCTAGAGCCTGGCACTTTGAACTTAGACATAAAGTCTCCAAACTGTAAGAGAATGAATTCTGGTTTGTTAAAGCGTCCCATTTGTGGTATATTCTTGTCAGAGCGGCACCAGGGAACCAGAACAGCTGCCAATGCAAAGACTGGCAGTGCAGGTCGACCCACAGGCACCTCAGAAGTGAGGCCTGGTGATTGACTTCTGAAATATCAGTCACTGAAAAGCCCGTGGCCCACAATTCCACTCTGACACACACGGGGGCGCTGTGAGCTGGCATCTACTCGGCAGCGAGTTTTGCTTATCACTGAGTGGTGCGCGTGGCAGGTACTTGGCTGCTAACTGAAAGGTTGGAAGTTGGCGTCCACCGAGAAAGACGTGGTGATCAGCTTCGGAAGATGAGCCATGGAGAACCCTAAAAAGTACAGCTCTCTGCTGACACGTGACAGTGACTGGGGTCGCAGTGAGCCAGTCGGTGCCACAGAGGCCAGTGGCTGGTTTCCGTGTTAGGAAAGGGCTTTCTTTCTGCGGCCCCAGCTGGAAATCCACATAACCCCTCGCTCGTCCCTGGGAGATCGGGATGGAGCAGGAAGGTCACTGCAAGAGTTAAGGCACAACACATAATACCTGGTAGTGCTCCCGACAGTCTCAGATCCGAGTCCAAACAAGCAGCTCCCAGCTGGCAGCCAAGGAGCCATGGGCATGTCTGATACAGCTCAGAGGCCACTAGTTGCTGAAACTAGAGAGAGACTTGGAAACAGAACAGTACAAAGAAAACAGCCCGGGGATGTGAGTGTGGACGCACATGGGGTACATGCAGACACTGCCACCCAGACGCCATGGACACGGAGGAAAAGCAAGCACTGGCCTGCTTGAGGCCTGTCATAGATCCTGATCCACAGTACACTGCTGAAAGGAAAGCAGACCTTCCCAAACGGAACCATACCAACTGCAAACCACCTGGTGCCGTCCAGTGGATTCTGACCCACAGCGCCCCTAGAGGACAGAGTGGAACTGCCCCACAGGGTCTCCAAGGCTGTCAATCTTCACAGAAGCAAAGGCCAAACCAAACCCACTGCCGTGGAGTGGATTCTGACCCACAGCACCCCTAGAGGACAGAGTGAGTTGAACTGCACCACAGGGTCTCCAGGGCTGTCAGTCTTCACAGAAGCAAAGCCCAAACCACACCCACTGCCGTGGAGTCCATTCTGACCCACAGCACCCCTAGAGGACAGAGTGGAACTGCACCACAGGGTCTCCAGGGCTGTCAGTCTTCACAGAAGCAAAGCCCAAACCACACCCAGTGCCTAGAGTCCATTCTCACCCACAGCGCCCCTAGAGGACAGAGTGGAACTGCAGAACAGGGTCTCCAAGGCTGTCAATCTTTACAGAAGCAAAGCCCAAACCACACCCACTGCCGTGGAGTGTATTCTAACCCACAGCACCCCTAGAGGACAGAGTGGAACTGCCCCATGTGGTTTCTAAGGCTGTCATCTTTAAGGGAGGAGCCCTGCTGATACAGTGATTAAGTGTTCGGCTGCTAACTAATTGAAAAGTCACTGGTTAGAATCCACCCGGTGGCTCCGTGGGAGAAAGATGAAGCAGTCAGCTTCTGTGAAGATTGACAGCCTTGGAAACCCTATGGGGCAGTTCCACTCCATCCTCTAGGGGCGCTGTGGGTCAGAATCCACTCCCCGGGGGTGTACTTTTTGGTTTACATTATTATTAGACTACAGATTACAAGGCACATTCACATATATTTCCTCATTTAGTCTGCACATCAGCACTGTTGAGCGGGGCGCTGTTTTTCTGTATTTTACCAGAGAGGGAAGTTAAGTATGCAGACAGCGACTTGGGTGATACTTGACTGGTTTGGATGCAATTCCTGCCCATCGCATCCTGACTCCACACCTTCTCCTGGCACCCGAGGTGCTTCCCCGGCAAGGATGGTGTCAGGGAAGGTGGCCTGCTGACACGGTCCTCTGGCTTGTTGTAGGTGGGCCTTTTCCGCAAGTCGGGAGTGAAGTCTCGGATCCAAGCCTTACGTCAGATGAATGAGAACTTCCCCGATAACGTCAGCTATGAAGAGCAGTCGGCGTATGACGTGGCGGACATGGTCAAACAGTTCTTCCGGGACCTCCCGGAGCCGCTTTTCAGCAGCAAGCTAAGCGACACCTTCCTCCACATCTACCAGTGTGAGTGGAAATAGCAGCATCAGTGTAGGCCCTGGCCACACAGCGGGGAGGCACTGGGCTGCTAACCCAGGGCTCAGCGGTTCGAACCCACCCCGCGGCTCTGCAGGAGCCACACCTGGCGATCGGCTTCCGTAGAGGTGACAGCCGGGACCGCCCTGAGTCAGGACTGACCCCAGGGCTCCCAATAACAACTGTACTCATCCGCTTAAAAAATCACTACCCCACAGGGTTTGAGGAGCTCTGGTGGCACAGTGCCTAAGGCACTTGACTGCTAACCAGAAGGCTGGCGGTTCAAACCCACCAGCCACTCCTCGGAAGGAAGGTTGGGCAATCTACTTCCATAGTAGTGATACCGCCTCGGAAACCCAAGGAGGGGTCGCTATGAGTCGGGTCCGACTCCATGGCAATGCATTTGGTTTTTTGGTTTAGTCTTTATAGAGGCCAACTGCCACGTCTGTTTCCCATGGAGCAGCTGTTGTTGTTGTTATGTGCCATGTAGTTGCCCAGAGTCATAGCAACCCCTCCTTGGGTTTCCTAGGCGGTATCACTACGCAAGTAGATTGCCCAACCTTCCTTCTTAGGATTCATATATCAGATACCTTGGGTTTTTTTGTATTGTTGCATTTTGGTTTTTGACATCAAAATCTTCTTTCTCCATAAGGTTTTATATAAGAGCTAAAATTAACTTTCACTAAGTGTGAAATACAAAGGAGACACAGGGAATTAATTTAGTAAGTATTTACTGAAACTTATTTAATTAAAAAACAATAATAATAATAATACACCGTCACTTGGGATGCAGGCAGATCAAAGCCAAATGTACTAACATGAGTTGAAATGAATGAATAACAGGTGAAACAATGAATTTTAACTGCTCAAAAGAAACAAATCCAGGGTGAAGTTTAATTTGGGTAAATGTGTGTTTCCACTTGGAGTTTTTGAAGTGATGTTAAGCTGATATTTCTCCTCGAAGCCCCTGTAATTGAAAATAACAGTTACTGATTAAAGCACTGCAGGGAGTCGCAAAGGGAGGTATTAGGAATGAATGGACAACTCTTTCCTAGATCCCATGTTCCAATGACAGTTATTCCTTTGGCTCACAGATCCCAATTCTTTAGGGACGAAACCACTGGCCCTTGGACCCCCAGTTCAGAAGAATATGCCTGCAATGGGCCCAAATATCGAAGTGGCCTGTTTACAAAAGACCCATGCTATAGAGAGCTCGGCACGCAGGGTGTGTAAGGCGTTGGCCAGCAGGGCTGCAGGTCCACAACTTCTGTCATCAGCACCACTTGTCAAAAGAGGAGAAAGGAGTGACCCTTGAAATCAGTAGGACTGTAACAAACCAATCCAAACCTACTGCCATGGAGTGGCTTCCACCTCACAGCGCCCCTAGAGGACAGAGTGGAACTGCCCACAGGGTCTCCTAGGCTGTCAATCTTCACAGAAGCAAAGCCCAAACCACAGCCACTGCCGTGGAGTCCATTCTGACCCACAGCGCCCCTAGAGGACAGAGTGGAACTGCCCA